CATGTCCTTATAAGCTGACAAAAATTTTCTACATATCACAAGACATGCCGTAAAATCGCAGTAACCATGCAGTGTTTCCTAATAATTGTTGCATTGTAATTTAGCTAGCAGAAGCAGCAAAGAAATAGGTGTTTTGCCAGAAAAAAGGAACATATGACAAAGTTTACTTTGGCGTTGTTTTTACTTGTTTGTAGTCAAGAACTTATTTTACACTCCATAAATCTTGGGCTACAAAGCAGTACACCAGTTAATGAAGGCCAAACAATGCTGTATCTAACAAGGGCAACACAATGTTTTTCTGTAGTCCCATTTTCTGCTGGTAGTTTTCTATTCTAACAGGGAAGTTAAGACACAGGAATGGCTATGTTAGTAAGTAAAGTAGTGGATCAGCGGCCCATCTTTAGGGTGAAACGGTGCTGAGGACCTAGCACCCACACCATATGCAATTCAGGGGGTTTAATTCCATGCTAGCTTTAATTTGCTGCCACAGCCTGAATGCCCGTGAACAGCTAGAACGTATTTGGTGTATTGCTAGCTTGTGCTTTTCAGTTCAGTCTTATCCAAATGAAGTATCAGTTCATATGCTCTGTAACTGCTCGATTATGTGAGCCAAAACAACATTTAAGCAGGCGAGATCAGGAGATTCCATTCAAAAAGAACATTTCTGGTCTAAACTAAAACCCTAACATTAGCAGCGTGTTTTCTGGTTTTGATTCCGTTCTTGGGTCTTTTCTCTTTACTGCTATCCTGCCTTGGGAGCAGTCTCATTGAAGTACCCCACTCAGACAAGGATGGATGAGGAAGAAACATGCATCTAGCCTGTTTGTAATTTACTCAGATATGATGAATACTGACAACAGTATGAATTGTTCCAAAGATATAACTTGAAAACAAGCTAAAGAGAGGAAGCGCTATATGAGTGAGACTAAATGCAGCTAGCTGGAGGACAGACAGCCAAAGATCTTCTATATGTTAATTTGCTATGCAACGCACTACTGTGTTTCGTTCATACGGTTTGTGTTTGCAGTATCACATTCCAGCCCATAACATTATTCAGTCTTTTTGTAAGATTAGAAAGAGGGGAAAATAATCCAACCAGATCTACTATTTGGCTCAACATCTGGAGACTGCTTAATCAAAACACAAGGGTTCTTTGATATTCCTGTTCACGACCACGCCAGCAGTACCACTCATGACCCACAGATTTTCATGCAACCTGGTTTCATACTCCCAGACTCCCACCCATAGGCACACACCCGACGTAACTCCTGGCCAGTCCTGCTCCTTTGGCTTCCCCCAAGCTTCCACGGCGCTATTTCCTAAACAAAGAGCTTTTCAGGCATCAAGAAGTCAAAACCTGGCTACAGGAACCATATAAAATCCTATTTCTGATAACTAAATTCCATTTAATCTAGTCATAATCCCTCAAATACTGCAAATACTTGTATTTAATTAAGAAAAAAAAAGCCAGACCCATGGGGTTTGGTTTAAGTCCTTGAAAGGACTCTCCCACTGGACCCTCAAGACCGAGACTGGATCGACTCCTTCCTCGCGGAAGGCTGGATGCAGAGCAGGCCCGAGCCATCGGAGGCACTGGCAGGGCTCTCCCTGCGGGCCGCGCCGGCCGGCCGGCAGCCCCCGGGACCGAGCCTCCCCGGCGGGCCGGGAAGCCGCAGACGCCA